ATATTTCAACAATGGAAAAAAGGTACCAGGGAAAGTGGAATCCTTCCATGCTTGCAGACTACTGTTGGTCTCTTGGTCCATAAAAGAACAGCAAAAAGACAGCGCATATAGTGATTCTTATAAGTATATGAATCTTGTTACTTTTTTTAATACATCCTTAAAAATAAAAAGTTTTTTTTCTAAACCGCAACTAATTTTTTTATTTCATTGTCATTTTTGGATTCAGCACCCCAAAATTAACAAAGAAGTGCACTTGTCCCACAAGATACAATTAAAAAACTAAAATTTGTTGTCCAGTGATTGAAGTGGGAGGATAAAAACAATTTTTAAATTTTATCAACATCGTGTCAGTGACATTTTGGCTATTTTTATTTTAATCTGAAAACATCAGTCTGCCGACACTTACCTTTCAAAGGCACTCGAGAGGTCTACAATATTATTTTTAGGCAAAATATTTATTATTTACACGCTATATTTAACAAAAGCAAATATACATGTATTGTTCCATGGTTTTCTGACACTTCGTGTAACCACATACGGTGCTCTACTGATTTTTCGAACGAGACAAGTTAGAAATCTGGAATTCTGGGTAGCAGTTGAAAAACTCAAAATGGTGGATAGGCGCTGCTTTCAGATATTTTTTTAATTAAAATGAGGGGGAGATGTGATACTCTGAAGCTCATTATGAGCTTTGGAAATGCTTTTTTACACAATGCCGATACCCTACGGACAAAGGAGCGGTTGTATCGGCCAGTTCCGGATGTAGAAAGTTCGACAAGCCCATTTTCGTAGCGGTAGAAGAGAGATAGATCGCCAACGGCCTGCCAGTTCTGAGACTGTCTCTTAGAGAAGAGCCATCGATCAGTCGAACAGCCCTTTTCTGAAGAGCATCGAGCATGGACAATGTAGGCGGCTAGGCATTATCGGGGCCCTGTATACAGTGAGAAGGTCAGGCAGAGAAAATTATTTCTTAGCCCTAGACAAATAGCCTAGCTTTTTCCTAGAAGCTGTGCCCGTGCAAGATCAAGTCCTCGGTGATCTGAGCTCCGATCAGCCGAAATGAATGGCTCTTTGGTAGCAGAAACCGGATGAACGCAAGGACGTTCCGAAGAAGCTGATGACGGGCAGTAGTGATGTGGGACTGTACAGGGTGTCCGCAAAGTTGGGGTTTTCCTTTACACGACGTGTAGATCTTGAAAACATAAGCAATTTTTCTTAGTACCATATACACCAATGTCTTAAGGGAACCGAGATGAAGGGCTCTGCAACATCAAAAATATCTGAATACCGTCCTGTAGCCGCGACCCGCCGCGATATCCCAGACTGGTACCGGCTACTAGCTGAACCCGACGACAGAACTGGGTCGGGGGTCGGGGTCAGTGTGTCAGGTCAGTATGCAACCTTCAACCGACGGTAAAGGGTCACGCGTATAGAGGTAAAGAACCCGTATAATCGATTGCGTTTCAAAAAAAAAAAATAATAATGGCACACTCATACACCAATAATGAACTCGTTAATATGTTGTTAATTTATGGCGAATGTCTTCAAAATGCTACAGAATCCAATGTGTACAAGCCCTTCAACCTGACGATTTTCCAGCAAGAGAGTTTTGTGAGTGGTTGTTGCATCAACATGACAATAATCCGGACTTTTTGAAGTGCATATTGGTGACAGACGAATCTACGTTCACGCGTAATTGGGTGAATAACTTTCGATTTCAGGCAGATACGTACTTAGCCCTTCTCGTCAACTGGACAGTGAGTACTTTTTCCTTTATTTTTTTTTACTTGGTCGCCCTCGTTTCACTACACATTACCTTTGTCATTTCAAGGGTAGTTGTTTCTGAAAAGGAAAACCCCAACTTTGCGGACACGCTGTATAGTCGAAATCACGAAAGATGACGATTACGTCATCGTTTTAGTCTGTAGCGAAGACAAACGACAGCGATTTGTAAATATTTTTAATAAAGTTTCAGATACGTTAGACAGAGACAAACAGAATCTTATTGTCTAAACAGACTCTATTGCTAATTTGAATATATCCGTCAAAGACAGACGATGCGTTCATGTTGCATGATCGATCATATTTGGAAGATTAATAGTTAGGTTATGTTAAGGCAGGTTAGGTTGTTTTCGAATAATACTTTGGTCTTTGGTGTTTCTGTCTTAAGGTATTCTAGTCATAACTGTTTTTTTTTCTCAAAAAAAAAAAATCCAGACTAAAATTATTAAAGGTATCACTCAAAACCATGAAATAAAATCAAAATAAAAATAACACTGGACAACAAATTTTAGTTTTTTAATTGTATCTTGTGGGAAAAGTGCACTTCTTTGTTAATTTTGGGGCGCTGAATCCAAAAATGACAATGAAATAAAAAAATTAGTTGCGGTTTAGAAAAAAAACTTTTTATTTTTAAGGATATATATACGTAAAAAAAGTAACAAGATTCATATACTTATAAGAATCACTATATGCGCTGTCTTTTTGCTGTTCTTTTATGGATCGTTTCTGGAGCATCTCTACCAAGAGTCCAACAGTAGTCTCCAAGCATGGAAGGATTCCACTTTCCCTGGTACCTTTTTTCTATTGTTGAAATATCCTGATGAAAACGTTCGCCGTGCTCATCACTTACGGCTCCGCAATTGTCAGGAAAAAAGTCCAGGTGTGAGTGTAGGAAATGTATCTTAAGAGACATATTACAGCCCATCTTTTGATACGATGACAGCATATTTTTGACAAGGGTTTTATAGTTGTCAGCTTTTCTATTTCCCAAGAAATTAGTGACCACCAGACGGAAATCATTCCAAGCAGTTTTTTCAATACCTGTTAAAGTGTTTTCAAACTGTGCATCTTTCAAAATATTTCGAATCTGTGGCCCAACAAAAATACCTTCTTTAACCTTTGCCTCACTTAGTCTTGGAAATTTCTGACGCAGGTATTGAAAAGCTGACCCATCTCTATCTAATGCCTTGACAAAGTTTTTCATTAGGCCCAACTTGATATGCAGTGGTGGTAATACATTCTTTTTCGAATCTACTAATGGCATATGCTGTACATTTTTTTAACCTGGCTCTAGGAATTGACGAACAGGTCAGTTTTGTCTGGTGTAATGAAGTGCCTTTGCCCGACTGTCCCATTCACACAAAAAAGCTCAAGTAAAAGTGCAACAACTTTCAAATCGCCACCAATATGCCATTGGTGCTCATCGTATTTTATGCATGTCAATAGGTACTTCATATTGTCATATGATTCTTTCATGTGAACTGCATACCCTACAGGAAGAGATGGTAAAATATTTCCAATATGCAATAACACTGCCTTTAAACTCAATGTTGAACTGTCTATAAACAATCTCCATTCTTCTGGGTTATAGTTTATATTTAAAGCCGCCAGTAAGCCGTTAATGTTACTGCAGAAAAGCAAGTTATTCTCCATATTGAAAAATGGTTCTAAGTCTTTGTGGCGTTTACGAAAAACACATACCGAAACATCGTCTTCTAACAAGTTCCACTGCTGCAGTCTTGAACCAAGTAACTCTGCCTTACATTTTGGAAGTTCTAAATCTCTTACAAGATCATTTAATTCTGACTGTGTTATTTTGTGCGGTGGGTGGCATGACGTGCTCGGTATAAAATCAGGATCTCTTGACGTTGATGGCATATCTTCTTCCTGACGAATCACTCGATCGCCATGATCTGATTCGCAAGTGTAGGATTCTGTGGTTTTGGAATAGGATTTTCGTCACTGTGAGGCACAGATCTCATCGTATGTTTGGTTAGTTAATAACCGATTTTTTTTTCTTGGACATACCTGTGGCTTGTTCAACACAAGGTACCATGCAAAAGTAATAATCATTAATATGATTTGTAGGCTTTCTCCAAACCATTGGGACAGCAAAGCGCATAGACCGTTTTTGCCATTTAACCAGCTCCTCAGACTTGAAGCACATGTATTACAGCAGATGTGGGGTGCCCACTGTTTGTCTTGATCACCTAGTTTACAACCGAAATAAAGCTGATATGCCTTTGTTATTAGTGGAGTAATAGACCGTCTCTGAGACGCAAAAGTCCCATCACCACACACGTAACAAAACTGATCTGGATTGTTTACACACTTTCGAGACATCTTGCATGAACGCTCTCAGCCAACTGAGGAAAAAATGGCTAATATAAAACAATATAATGTACACGTATGTATAACGTAACACAATCATGCCGATTACATCATCTTTCCTTGCCGAATATAAAAATGTAGCACGTGCATTCTTGTGAATTACAGTATATTAACACTGTCACAGCAGGAACACATATAATTACCGTATCTCTAAAACTTGAACTAATATTGAAAAAATAAGTTTCATTCCGGTTTTAGCACATTAAAAATAGTAATATTTTGTTGATTTTATTTGGGATGTTTTTTGGCTGTTGATCAGTGTAATTAGTGAAATAACCTAACTTCACAAAATCATAATATAAATTTGTTGTCATTATGTTCCTGGCATCGTGATTTTATCATCGACGTACGTCCATTGATTAATTCAGTACAATTTATGGTCAACTTTCGCGATTTTCACTATACAGGGTCCGGAAAGTAATAGGACGCATTCATCACCGACTGGATTCGGTAGAGGGCGTTCCAGAAGGAGCCTATTTTGAAAGTTTTTAGAGAATTGTAACGATTGACTCAATAATTTTTTTTAAATTGACTCAGTCCTATTAGTTTCCGGACAAACCCTGTATGATTTGGCTTTATTCTATGCCTTTCCAGACTTCGGAATCATCACAATTTCTGCGACTTCCCATATATCGGGCATATGCTTAAAATGAATTCCTGCATTGAATAGATACGTTAGCATGCGTCAAACTGAGTAAGCCGAGACACAAAACCCTACCAAACACGATAACCCTATTTACGAATTCGAAAAAACAATGGTATCTAAACCCTCTGCAAACACTCGTTTCCAAGCAAAAGAGAATGACGAGATCCAGCGACATCGTAAACATCCTGACGCGTATTTGCGATCGTCTTTTGGGATTAGAACCACTTATCCTGAAAAGTCTCTATAAAGACAGTGCTGAGATCTGGTGAAGTCAAACGAACTTCCGAAAACGAACGAGCAAGATGAGAGTGGATGTGAAAATATTCGCGCTACTATTCGGCGTCGCTTTTGCCGGAGTTATACCGGAACAAAACGGACAAAGTGGGATTCAGACAGGTTAGTAACAGTGCAGTTTTTAATACACATGATAATATACCTGTACATTTGAAAGTGTATATGTTCAAGACCGTATAGAGGAATTCAATGCCCGGGGAATTTCCAATGTGCGGCCCCCTGTCCATTTTTTTATTTCATTATAATATTTGTTGATAACCTAGCGAGTCTACAAGTAGAAGTATGTTTTATTGACATTTACTTATAGATCTTTAAAACAAATTAATTCTATAAAAGTATTCAGAACTTATATCCTTAAGAACGGGTGCCAGGGGTTGAATATTTCTTTAGGGATCTTTTAAGTTAGGCTTATCTCGAAAGCTATTTGACCTATGAACATGAAATTTGGCAGGAAGGTAGCTTATGGACAGGACTTATTAGCTAAAAAGGGATTTTGTGACAGAGCTGAATTAAGGGTAGATGCATATAAACACGAGAAGGTTTGAGCTGTGATTATAAAATATGGAAGGGTGGTAGTTTTTACAATGTACAATTTGGCCTAATAACGGGTGATTTTTTAAGAGGTATAGGATTTGATTTTCAAAAAAAAACACAAAAAATTTTAAAAAACGATTAAATCTTTATTTGAGTCGATAGAACGGTCGATATAAACGAAAATGTCGCACCCCTATTTGTGACCCTCCTGGTATATTTTGGGAAAAACGTTCGGACACGTCAACTTTGATTTCTGTATGAGTGCTAAACGTATACACAGATACAAGCGCACACAATAGCAAAAGGAAAAGTAGACAATATTGCTCTAGATAGTTTCTGTTTTTTTTCTTGCCGTAACTATTTACATTTTGATAAATTAAAATAAAGTCCAAAATATTTGCGTCTCAAAATGTTTTCTTCATTAAGCCCTAAAGTGATAAGGCATTTGCAAAAAAATTAAAGGAAGTTATAGAAATTTTTCAAAATTATTTTAACTACGCACAAAAATGATTAATGAAAGAAAAAATTCCATCATTGTGAGAAAAAAGTTAGCTATGAACATGTATAACCAAAAAATTAATCACCTGACTCAGACACATAGGATCGTTGCTGTATGACTAATGGATGGAAATATTGTCTTTTACTGGCTGACTTGATCCTATCAATCTTTTTGTTTCACATGATTTTAGCTAACTTGGGGGGCTAGCTTTTGCCAAACGTAATCCTTTATGCACTATGGAAAGTTCGATACGAATACCGAGTCAACATACTTAACACGATTTATAGAAACAATAGAGATCTCGAGATACAAACAACTGAGTTATTCTCGCAGACTCAACTGTTTGTTGACTATAGTATCTGTAAACTCAAACTCTCGGTTTCAGGTGACAATGTCAAATGGGAAGAGACATCGGCATTATGGGAGGACAGACTCTCCACTACCACAGAAGTCCCATGCGACACTGAAACCACGCAAGGCCCTTACAAAGGAAATACTCCAACCAATAACGTGATCAATGTCCGAGATGTTACAGATACTGGTCAAACCGCAGATGATAGTATACTCACTACTACTGAAGATGATGAACACGATGTGGGTCAGACCTCTAAAAATGAAGATGTAAATCAGGACGTTGATGAAAGCACAGACAAAGGACTCAAAGACAAGCCAGCTTCTGAGGAACAAGACATAGCTGGAAATGGTGAAGGTGTTAAGCGAGATGTAAATGCTAACCAGAAATCAAACACTGACAAGGATGTTTCAGTTAAAGAGGACGACGTGAATGTTGATACTCAAAGTGAAAAAGCTGGAACAAACAACGTAGATAAGGGAACTGATGAAGATGAAAATAGAGGGGTGGTTAAGGAAGCTGAAATTGAGAAGCCCAAAGTCGAAGGTGATGTTAAAGGAGATGATGCTAACAACAAGACATCTGAAGCTAAAGCAGCAGACAAGGATGATGTTGCTGATGTAGTTGAAAATGAGAAGCAGGATGTAAGCAATGACAACCAAGGGCCAGTCAATGATGGTGATGTAAATGTTGATGCTGATATCAAAACTACTGCAGATGACGGGACCAAACATATCACTGAAGATGAACAAAGTGGGATTACCAACGGAAAGGAAAATGAAAAACGTGATTCTGAGAGCGAGAACAAGGTCCCTGTCGAAGGTGATGATGTCGACGTCAATGCTCCCAGCGCAAACATCGAGTCAAATGATGGGGATAAGGATATCAATGAAGATAAGAACAAAGGCACCTCAGATGGACAAGAACATGAACAATATGATTCAAAGAGTGACAACCAGCTACCTAGCAAAGATGGTGATGTAAATGTCGATGCTGATATCTATACCCCTAATGCAGATGATGTGACCAAGCGTACCACTGAAGATGAAGAGAGTGGAGTGACCAAGGAAAAGGAAAACGAAAAACGTGATTCTGAGAGCGAGAACAAGGTCCCTGTCAAAGGTGATGACGTCGACGTCAATGAAGATAAGAACAACGGTATCTCAGATGGACAAAAGCATGAACAATATGATTCAAAGAGTGACAACCAGCTACCTGGCAAAGATGGTGATGTAAATGTCGATGCTGATATCAAGACCCCTAATGCAGATGATGTGACCAAGCATACCACTGAAGATGATAAGGGTGGAGTGACCAAGGAAAAGGAAAATGAAAAACCTGATTCTGAGAGCGAGAACAAGGTCCCTGTCAAAGGTAATGATGTCGACGTCAATGCTCCCAGCGAAAACACCGAGTCAAATGATGGGGATAAGGATGTCAACGAAGATAAGAACAAAGACACCTCAGACGGACAAGAACATGAACAATACGATTCAAAGAGTGACAATCAGCTACCTGGCAAAGATGGTGATGTGAATGTCGATGCTGATATCAATACCTCCAATGCAGATGACGAGACCAAACATATCACTGAAGATGAACAAAGTGGGAATACCAACGGAAAGGAAAATGAAAAACGTGATTCTGAGAGCGAGAACAAGGTCCCTGTCAAAGGTGATGACGTCGACGTCAATGCTCACAGCGAAAACACCGAGTCAAATGATGGGGATAAGGATGTCAATGAAGATAAGAACAACGGTACCTCAGATGGACAAGAGCATGAACAATATGATTCAAAGACTGGCAACCAGCTACCTGGCAAAGATGGTGATCTAAATGTCGATGCTGATATCAATACCCCTAATGCAGATGATGTGACCAAGCATACCACTGAAGATGATAAGGGTGGAGTGACCAAGGAAAAAGATAATGAAAATTATGATTCTGGCGCTGACAGCAAGGTTCATGTAAAGGTTGATGATAACGACGTCAATGCACAAAGCAAGGACGCTGAGTCACATGATGCGGATAAGGGCATCAACGAAGATAAGAACCAAGGTACCTCAGAAGTAAAAGAACACGAGAAAGATGCTCCAAAGAGCGAAAACCAGCTGTCAGGCAAGAACGGTGATGTAAATGTTGATGCTACTAGCCAGACTTCAAATACAGATGATGTAGCCAAACAAACAATTGGAGATGAAGAAAGTGGAGTAATCAACGAAAAAGATAATGAGGAACATGATTCTGAGAGTGACAGCAAGGTTCATGTAAAGGCTGATGATATCGACGTCAATGCTGACAGCAAGCACGTTGAGTCACACGATGTAGACAAGGAGGTGAACGAAGACAAGAACAAAGGTACCTTAGATGTAAAAGATTACGAAAAAAATGATTCAAATAGTGACAACCAGGTGTCAGTCAAGGACCACGGTTTGAATGTTGACGCTCATAGCAAGATCTCAAATACAGATGATGAAGTTAAGCACACTGTTAAGAATGAAAACAGTGGAACTGTTCAGGAAAATGAAAAGGAAAAACAGGATTTCGAGGTTGATAATCGAGTATCAGTTAACGGTGATGGTGTCATCATCGATGTTGATAACAAAGCCTTTGTCTCACATGATGTAACCAAGCCTACCTCAGGGAATAACGACGATGTTGACAACCAGGGTCCAAACAGTGACAATTCCAAACCTGATAGTAACCTCAGTAAAGGCTCAAACAGTCCTGCTTCTCAATCTGAGAACGAAGGCCCAAACAATGGTGACGCAGGCTCTGAAGGTCACGGCATTGGTGAGACTGATGCTGATTGTGACGATGGTAAGACTGAAACCAAGGACGACAACCCTATACAGCAGATTGTGGAAGGTAGTCAAGCACTTATTGATCTAGTAATAAATATTATTTCGAAAATAATACCTCTAGCACCCGAAGAATCAGGGGTAGGTCCAAGCCACAAAGGAAGCCCACCAGCAGAAGGAAACAATTCTGCTGAGCATCACGATGGAGAATCCCCTGCTCACGAAGGAGTACATCCAGGTAAGGGAGGCAGTTCAGAAGAACATCCTTGTCCTGAGGGATCAGAAAAATGTGCAAGCCCCAAAGGAAACCAATCAGGAGAAGAAAAGGACTCAGACGAACATCAAGATGGAGAAGACAATCAGCATGAAGAAGCACATTCAGGTAAAGGAGGCAGTTCAGAAGAACATCCCTGTCCTGAAGGATCAGAAAAATGTGCAAGCCCCAAAGGAAACCAATCAGAACATCAAAATGGAGAAGACAATGAGCATGAAGAAGCACATTCAGATAAAGGAGGCAGTTCAGAAGATCATCCCTGTCCAGAAGGATCAGAAAAATGTGCAAGCCACAAAGGAAACCAATCAGGAGAAGGCAAGATCTCAGCTGAACATCAAAATGGAGAAAGTCCTGCCCATGGAGGAATTCATCCAGTCAGTGAAAGACCAAATAAGAAAGCTGATCATGGGATAGACTTCTCGTCCTGGGAAAGCGACTCAGATGAAGAAGGAAGTAGCAAGACCAAAAACACCGGGTCTGCAGACCAAGGAGCGTCTAACGAACACCGTAGTACAGAACAGTCCACTGAGCAAGAAGGTCACGAAGGAGGTCAACCAGACAAAAACGGCCACTCAACCAAGGACAGCAGCAATGAGGAAGAGTCAGAAGAACAAGACAACTCAGTTGAAGACAGCGATGGAGGACATCGGCATCATGATTCTCACCATGATAGGCACGACAGAAACCAGCAAAACAACAACGTAGAGGAACGTAACAGAAATAACGACAGAAGAAACAGGAACCACCACAACAATGAACATCATTCGCATGACAGAAAACGAAAACATGACTCCTCCGAGGGAACGTCTTTCGAGAAAAAGGTGAGGAAAGAGTTGGAGAAACGAGTCAAACACGAAGAAAAGAAGAGAAAGCATTCTCATGAAGATAGTTCATCCTCCTCATCAGAAGAAACGTCTAAAGAGAAAAAAGAAAGAAAGCTGAAGGAGAAGCAAGAAAAGAAAGAGCGAGAAGAAAGAGAAAAGTTGATGAAGAAGGAGAAGGAAGAGCGAAAAAAGAGTGAGAAGAAAGAGAAGAAAGAAATTGAGAAGCAAAAAAAGGAAGAAGAGAAGAGGCAGAAGGAAGAAAAGGAAAGACAAAAGAAGAGAGAAAAAGAAGAGAAGAAAGCAAGAGAGGAGCAGGAAAAGAGAGAAGAAAAAGAAAGGAAGGAACGAGAGAAGCAGGCAAAGAAGATGTTTAGATATATCGTGTCGTCATCCAGCAGTTCTTCCAGTTCAAGCGAATCCATAGAAGCCAGAAGAGCAAATGTTTTGGAGAAACTGCAAAAAATTAGGGAGAATCGCGAAAAATATATAGACGACAGGTACGTTCCTGTGGGTTTGAGGGTACGTGAGGCAAAACTGGCTGCTCTGGAAGGTGCGCTGAAGAGTTTAGATGGAAAGGACAAGCACCCGATTGCCGACTCAACCCCTGTTGGTCTCAAGATAAAGGAAGCGAAAATTGAAGCATTGAGAAACATACTCAGCCAGTTGGATGAGCAAGATAGCGACAGCCAGGGCAGTGAATATCCTATTGGTTTGAAGATTAAACAAGCAAAATTGGAGGCTGTGAGAGAAAAACTACGTAAGTAACTGCTTCAGGTTTTAGTCATCATACGCCATAAGATTTTTATTATTTTGGATTCGTAATAGTTATTCTTTCTTTTCCAGACAATTTACAAGAATCAAGCCAATAGACACTACTCGAGACGACCCTTGATGATCTCAGGCTATATTTCTTGATATTTATTTATTGTAACTGAAAGTGGGCCATATGAATATTCTTATATCTTCAGGTAGTTTTTTGAATAAAATTGGTTTTGAAGCATATCGCGTTTCATTCTTGATTTAGAAAAATAGGTGCAAATTGATATTTTTGCAAGTAATAATATGACGCTAATGTATATAATTTTTTCATTTTAATCTGAAAAAAAATAATCTTATCTGACACAGATAATTGTATCAACAATAGCATCACAAATTATAAATATTATAATTGTTGTTAAGTGACTGGTGATAAAACGACATAGAAGCTAGTTTTTCTAGAAAGATTAAGAAATTCTAGGTGAGAAAAGATGAAACATTTGTTTGTGTTTTGTTTCATTTTGCTAACCTTAGTGACAACTATCGGACTGACAAACGGAAAAGGTATGGTTTATTATAATCAACACTATACAGGGTGTTACTTGAAGGATAATTAGAAGGAATCAAGGCGAACATGTAATTGAAAGTGGGGAGACGAAAACAATTAAATATTTGATAAACAATTCTTAGGGCCGATTTCACCAACATTGATATTATGGACAAATGAAAAAATACGTTATCGAAATGCAATTTGACAGAAGCTGCCAAAGGTCTCTGAATATTAGTGATTTCTATTGAAATATTGAATAAAATCGTGAAAATTCGACTGTATTATAAACAAGACCACTTTTTGAATCTAACATGATGCTTTTGTACAGAAAAAACAGGACAACTTTCATGTATTTTGATATATGTTATAGGCTTACATTTAACAATCCGTTATCCCACTCAGCGAATAGGAATGCGGCAAATAATAGGTCGATTTTCTAGCTGTTTTGGCAGCAGATTTGGACGTTTTTTAATGCATGGCACTCTCGAATTTACCAACTTCAATATACTGAAAGTTATCATTACATACCTGTTGAATAGTGTGGATTTGTCTGTATTTTGCAAGAAAATAGAATATAAAATACATTCCATCCAATTCCTCACATTCCTTTACGTCATAATAGTAATCATTTATTAATTTATGGGTTAATGATTTTCTTCAAAGCAATAAAAACATTACAAGGTACCGACGGAGCTATATTGCGGCGTCATGGAAATAATTTTAAATTTTCATTTGCATTCTTTCAAGTGTTGTGCAATGATTTTGGGAAAAATGTCACGAATAGTCTTATAAAGCATCAACAGTTGGCGGAACTTACTCCACTGGGACCAGGACGGTGAAACGGGATATTAATGCACAATCTGGCAACCCTGTCGCACCCTCACAAAATGGCCGCTGATAACCACACAAGTCACCGTGATGTCATTGAATAGCATGGAATTAAACCTTCAGAGTATATGTTTTGTGACTGGTACTAAGAGTTGACAGATTCCACACATGTTTCACTCCTTGAAATGCAATAATCAGCTGTATTCAAATAATGCCTAATATAAATATAACCTAGAATGAGTACTCGTGAAAAAAGAAAAATATGGCAAATTTGTAGTTTTTTTGCAGGTTTTAGGTTTGATGGTAGCTTTAAGACATATATTTGGGAATTTCTTAATCGCTGTGAATATAGTGTGGATGTTTGTTCAGTTCCTGAACAACGAAAAATATTCAACTTTATGGATGTATGGATATCAAAAAACCTTAATGGTTTTGTGGGAATATCAATCTAAGGTGCCATAAAGGTTCTGATGAACGGCAAGTAAATGAATGAATGTTTGGAAACGAGCAATATCTTTTGGTAGAGCCTGTTATCAAGTAGGTGCTTAATGGCTATCTGCAAGAGGTTTATAGGAAAACACACCCAGTATCACATATCAATTGAAGAAAATAGATATAAACATGAATAAAAAATCAACAATAGTAATTAAAACATGAATTTGATTCAAAAATCAAACATTTCTTAAAATTTTGACGGAATTATATGTAATTTCTTAATATTCAATAAGCTGGTGATATTTCAATGACAAATTGTCATCTCATACTTTGACAGTATTTTGTTTTCAACATTTCATAGCTGTTGGTTGCTAAAATCTGTTGATTGGAACTTAAAGCTCATGCGCTGTATCTGACGGTCTGTTACCCTATAGATGGAGAATACGGACTGTTTTTGGTGAAATTGTGAATTAGTTTATTTTTGTTGGAAAATAGTCTAATACAGTTCTAATTTCGTGAAAGAGCGTTGAAATAAGGGTTTTTAATATTTTGATGACAAATAGAATATAAAATAGAAAGGATTTATTTAGCTTTAAGCTACTTCAAACAATAATAAATATTATTTACAAAAATATGTTAAATTCACAAAGAGGTCGTCACATCAAACCAAAATAGTCTCTCCGAAGTCTCTTTTTGAAAATTTTAGCATTACTAGATGTTTTCACATTAATAAGCAGATTGTTGTACATTTTCAGAACTTCAACAAATATTGACTTTTCTAAACCTTTAAAAAATCTACATTTTATTTTGTTCTAATGTCGTAACTTTGCATTTCACATCTTTTTTTCAGAAAATGTTCAAGATGAGGTGGAGCCTGATTATTGATAATTTTATATAAAAGAATTAAATTTGCCTCTTGAATAATTTGGTGTATGTTCAAAAAATGTAATGCCTTTAGCATATCCGGTATATGGGTATACCTGCTACAATTTAACAAAATCCGCATACATTTATTTAACAGAATTTGCAACCTTTGCTTCTGCTCATTTGTGCATGTAATCAACAGTGATGCACAATAAGTAAAATGAGGAAAAATTATTGTATTGTAGACTACCCTTCTGAACCTGGGATTCTCACAAATTCTACGAAAATACCCGATCTTTTTGCCTAATTTCAACATCAGTTGCTGATCTATTGTAATACCTAAATACTTAACACTATCTACAAAATCAAGTACCTCTCCCACAACTTTCACTGGCATATTTAAATCCACCAATTTCTTGCAATTATTCTTCGAACCTATAATCATACATTTCGTTTTTGTCACATTTAATTTAATCTTGTTTGTTTTTAACCATAAACTAAGTTTCCTCATTTCACTATTCATTACATCTACAATTTCGTTACTTACTGAATCACTAACTGAAATTAATGTATCATCCCCAAACAAATTGATAAGAGAATTGCTAAGGACATTCGACATATCATTGACATATAGAATAAACAGCAATGGGCCTAGTACGCTGCTTTAAGGTACTCCATGATCAACAGAAACATTACTTGATATTGTACTTTCAATTTTTACCACTTGTAACCGCTCAGATAAATAACACTGGACAACAAATTTTAGTTTTTTAATTGTATCTTGTGGGAAAAGTGCACTTCTTTGTTAATTTTGGGGCGCTGAATCCAAAAATGACAATGAAATAAAAAAATTAGTTGCGGTTTAGAAAAAAAACTTTTTATTTTTAAGGATATATTAAAAAAAGTAACAAGATTCATATACTTATAAGAATCACTATATGCGCTGTCTTTTTGCTGTTCTTTTATGGATCGTTTCTGGAGCATCTCTACCAAGAGTCCAACAGTAGTCTGCAAGCATGGAAGGATTCCACTTTCCCTGGTACCTTTTTTCCATTGTTGAAATATCCTGATGAAAACGTTCGCCGTGCTCATCACTTACGGCTCCGCAATTCTCAGGAAAAAAGTCCAGGTGAGAGTGTAGGAAATGTATCTTAAGAGACATATTACAGCCCATCTTTTGATACGATGACAGCATATTTTTGACAAGAGTTTTATAGTTGTCAGCTTTTCTATTTCCCAAGAAATTAGGACCACCAGACGGAAATCATTCCAAGCAGTTTTTTCAATACCTGTTAAAGTGTTTTCAAACTGTATATCTTTCAAAATATTTCGAATCTGTGGCCCAACAAAAATACCTTCTTTAACCTTTGCCTCACTTAGTCTTGGAAATTTCTGACGCAAGTATTGAAAAGCTGACCCATCTCTATCTAATGCCTTGACAGTTTTTCATTAGGCCCAACTTGATATGCAGTGGTGGTAATAAAATTTTTTTCGAATCTACTAATCGCATATGCTGTACATTTTTTGACCTGGCTCTAGGAATTGACGAACAGGCCAGTTTTGTCTGGTGTAATGAAGTGCCTTTGCCCGACTGTCCCATTCACACAAAAAACAGCAAAACTTTGTGTAGCCTAGCTGCAGCCCAAGTAAAAGTGCAACAACTTTCAAATCGCCACAAATCTGCCATTGGTGCTCATCGTATTTTATGCATGTCAATAGGTACTTCATATTGTCATATGATTCTTTCATGTGAACTGCATACCCTACAGGAAGAGATGGTAAAATATTTCCAATATGCAATAACACTGCCTTTAAACTCAATGTTGAACTGTCTATAAACAATCTCCATTCTTCTGGGTTATAGTTTATATTTAAAGCCGCCAGTAAGCCGTTAATGTTACTGCAGAAAACCAAGTAATTCTCCATATTGAAAAATGGTTCTAAGTCTTTGTGGCGTTTACGAAAAACACATACCGAAACATCGTCTTCTAACAAGTTAAACTGCTGCAGCCTTGATCTAAGTAACTCTGCCTTACATTTTGGAAGTTCTAAATCTCTTACAAGATCATTTAATTCTGACTGTGTTATTTTGTGCGGTTGGTGGCATGACGTGCTCGGTATAAAATCAGGATCTCTTGACGTTGATGGCCTATCTTCTTCCTGACGAATCACTCGATCGCCATGATCTGATTCGTTTTCTGATTCGCAAGTGTAGGATTCTGGGGTTTTGGAATAGGATTTTCGTCACTGTGAGACACAGGTCTCATCGTAGATGGTATGTTTGGTTAGTTAATAACCGATTTTTTTTTCTTGGACATACCTGTGGCTTGTCCAGCACGTGGTACCATGCAAAAGTAACAATCATTAATATGATTTGTAGGCTCTCTCCAAACCATTGGGACAGCAAAGCGCATAGACCGTTTTTTGCCATTTAACCAGCTCCTCAGACTTGAAGCACATGTATTACAGCAGATGTGGGGTGCCCACTGTTTGTCTTGATCACCTAGTTTACAACCGAAATAAAGCTGATATGCCTTTGTTATTAGTGGAGTAATAGACCGTCTCTGAGACGCAAAAGTCACATCACCACACACATAACAAAACTGATCTGGATTGTTTACACACTTTCGAGACATCTTGCATGAACGCTGTCAGCCAACTGGCTAATATAAAATAATATAATGTACACGTATGTATAACGTAACACAATCATGCCGATTACATCATCTTTCCTTGCCGAATATAAAAATGTAGCACGTGCATTCTTGTGAATTACAGTATATTAACACTGTCACAGCAGGAACACATATAATTACCGTATCTCTAAAACTTGAACTAATATTGAAAAAATAAGATTCATTCCGGTTTTAGCACATTAAAAATAGTAATATTTTGTTGATTTTATTTAGGATATTTTTTGGTTGTTGATCAGTGATGATCACCCACCCACAAGAGGGCTGTACTCTTAATTCCATACATTTCACAGTTTCTCAACAACAATTTCCTGTCAATAGTTAGGTCAACAGACAAACACAAACACTTTACCATCATCTACATCTTTTTTCCACTTTGTACATACAAATTGGCATGCAGTTTAACAAGAATGATTTCTTCTGAACCCGGATTGCCTCTCAAAAAGAACATCGTTCACACGTAGATGCCCACTCAGCTGTTCATGCAATGTTATTTCTATAACTTTCTCGACGACTGGCATAAGATTGATGGGTCGCAAGTCTTCTGGGTTACGTGGATTGTTGTTTTGGGTACTTGGACTATAATACTCCTCTTCAACAACGCAGTCGTCTTTCCTGTTCGGAGCGATGTATACTAAGTGACATATAAATCCGAACACCCAGTTTAAATGGTTTTATTTTAATAAAAGTTGGTGAATGTATTTATCTTACTGTAAATAACAAGTGAAAAAAATTTCAGCCTTATCAGTTGGACATTCCGGTTTTTATACTGCTTTTTTTTAATTCACTAACGCTCTAAAAATGAATATTTCAGCAGCAGTAAAGAATCAACGTTGGCGGATTTTGGTTCTTGACATCCTTTACGATCGGTTACGATGCCTAGAGTACGGAGACCTGTACGATTTCGTCAACTTAGTGAGTTTGATAGGGGCCGTATAGTGGGACTTCGGGAGCTGGACTTTCTTTTCGGGCAATTGCAGTTAGAGTGCAAAGAAGTGTAGACACTGTGGTTAGGTGTTGTCAGGGATGGCTTCGAGAAGGCCGTACGCAAAGAGCAAGGGGCACTGGACGCCGCCGTAGAACAACAGACCGTGAAGATCGCCGCCTAAGATTATTGGCCTTAAGGGACCGTTTCTCCACTACCAGGTCCATTGCAAATGAATGGTTTGCAGAACACGGAAGACCTATTGGCATGCGAAGTGTTTACCGACGAATGAGAAGTTTTGGCTTGTTTTCATACCGGCCACACTGGGTCCTCCCTTTAACTCGAGAACACCGACGTAATCGCCTTGAGTGGTGCAGACAACGGTCACTCTAGGATCAGGAATGGAACAGTATTGTCTTTAGTGACGAGTCTCGATTTTGTTTAGGCATGCACGATGGTCGTGTCAGGGTTAGAAGGCGACGTGGTGAAAGGAGAAATCCACAGTTTTTTGTTGAAAGACATGTTCATCACACTGTTGGAGTTATGGTTTGGGATGCTATAGCTTATGGTTCCAGGTCACCTTTAATCTTCATCAGAGGTAACATGAATGCGCAGCGTTATATCCACGAAGTTCTAGAACCCCATCTTTTACCCTATCTTGACACCCTGGCAGATCCAACTTTCCAACAAGATAATGCCCGACCACATGTTGCAAGAGTCACAATAGACTTCTTTCAACATAATGATGTCACATTGTTACCATGGCCACCAAGATCTCCCGACTTATCCCCAATTGAGCACGTGTGGGATATGATGGGTAGGAGATTGCTCAATTTGCAACGTCCTCCTCAGACTCTAGAAGCACTTCGAGAGGAGTTGGTGGTTGCCTGGAATGAGAAACCACAGGAGGACATTGACCACCTGATCAGAAGCATGCCTAGGCGCGTAGGAGAATGCGTAGCACATCAGGGTGCATCCACACATTATTAAAGGTCAAAGGGCTTTAAAGCAGTGCAATCATTTTGAAATTTTTATTGTTTACTTATTATGCTTCATTAAGTACTTATACAAAATTTTATTAAAATAAAACCATTTAAACTGGGTGTTCGGATTTATATGTCACTTAGTATATTTAGAATATTCAAAACGGGGTAGCCAATTACATCACCAAACTGCATGAAAGTGCTTCATCAGATTTTTTCTTCAATTGAAAAACAGTTTTGCGTAGCTTATTCAATGGAATTTCTTTAAACCTCAAAAATTCCTCTTCCAAAGGCACTGCTGCCATTATAGCTTCCTCATTACTTGAAGGTATGGTGCTTACTATATCAGTTGCACTCTTGATAAAATAATTGTTCAATTTATTCTCTGCAGTGCCACAGCCATTAATTTCTAAAGACATATAATTAATGTGTACATGTTTGTTATCAACGAGATCATTCTCCACATGTGTTTGCTGTCTCCTTTGCATCTGTCAATCTTTTCTTCATAATACTGCTTTTGTTTTGATCCTATAAGAGCAACAACTTTGTTACGTTTTTCTTCATATTTTTCGAAGTCATTACTCAGGTTGGTAAATTTGAAAATACTGTATTGTACATCTCTTTCCCTTTGTGCTATTTTGATCTCTCTATCAATCCATGACTTGTAGTTAGTACTTTATTGTTCTAAAGATGCAAAATTTCGTTAATACTTCTATTCACATTGTCAATAAAACAATTATATAAGGAATCGACGTCTCGAGATCCATGTTTTCAGTTACATTCAATGAGCTTCATCTTAATTTTATCGATATTGTCATCATCAACATAGATCTCGCTTTTTTATAACCGTAATTGACAATGTGACAAAGTTGTTTCGGATATTTTTAATCAATTCGATATGCGGTTTTCACAAGCTTTTTTAGATATTATTTAGCTACTTTTTCATAAAAAAAATCATACGTATGCATTTAACTTTTTTGAGAAAATTAACCATTTCTGTTGGAATGTCGAAGAAGCCCTCCATCGGCCACATGTGAAACTAACAAAACTTAGAATATTATAACAGTTGTAGCCCAAAAATAGCTCAAGTTTTTTTACGAAAACCTTTCAATACCCCCGGCCACATTATTTTTACAGATACAGCAAAAATTGTCAAATAAAAAAGTCAGATTATCATCGAAATTAAAGACCAGGTATTTTTTTTGTTAGGTTATTATAGCTAGTATCAAACAAATAAAGTACCGCGCACAACATAAATGGCATCGATAACGTACGGTTTCTTTCTCTACATTAGTGACTATCATACTGGATGTAACTAACTCCAAATCCCCTGTTCAGTTCTTCCAGAAAAAAATGAAGAAAGAAGATCATTCCAGGCTTCCTGCCAATGGCAAAGATGCAAGTCGAGGTGCGTTCCGAAGAATGGTCGTTGTTTTGACAGCATCTGTCACTGTGTATAAAACTGACTTGTGCGAGACACACTACCATGAGCTGTATGAGAGATGAGCTGGTTTTATAAGGAATGAATAAAGATTTTGACAGTACAACAACCACTTTCCAATTTGTATTTAGATGAACGCTACTTGGCTTTCAGCAACCAACAATGCATGCTTGAGCGTACCATGTCGTTGAGTCATTCCTCCATAGATGGACGCTTATGTTGACGCTCACGGCGACCACAGCGAGCAAACGTGGAATGAGTTATTTGCACACTAAAAACTACCTAGTCTGCCAGATGACATTTTGTCGTTTTTTTTGACGTGTTTTTTAGGTTTTTTACATAATACCCTTGCCGATTAATACTGTCAGCACCCCTAGATAATGCAGGCAAGAGCGCCTTTACTCTGTCCTGTTTTTATTTTTTCAAGTTAGTTATTCATTCATTGATATGTATTGTTACACATTTATTGATCTTTATTGTTTTGTATTGCATTTATTTACCACATACACAAATTTCTATCAAGTGGATATGAATCTGGCTATACTACAAGGTAATTGTGGATAAATAAAGACGTCTATTATTATTATTATCATTATTACTATTATTATTAATAAAGAATACAGAATAAGGGACGTACCGTCAGTCGTTCCCTACAATTGTTGGTTGTCTTTACGAGTATAACCTCCTTGATTTTCAAAGTTTTCTACTGTTCCACGTCAGCGCTCTATTTTGAGGTTATGTTACAAATATATATACATACAGCAGACGCTCGATAACGTAAACACGGGATAATGAAAACTTGCGCTAATGTAAACACAAACTTCGTTCTATAGGATCAAACGGAACGCGCGATAACGTAAACAATGTGTACGCTCGATAACGTAAACAACTCTCGGCGCACGGAAACAGCGCGACCGTAAAATGCTGAAGCCTCGATGATTTATGTCGGGCGTCGGGGAGGCCCCGATTTATGATGTAGAGTGTAGGGGATTCACCTCTGCGATAAAATACGACAAACTCGGTCAGTCGTATGATCGTTTAGGATACGTTTATACGTACGTATGTATTTCATTTTTGAACTTAAGTGAATACATTCACGTCATGTACATGCCGCCCAACGTAACACCGTTAATTCAACCGATGGACCAGAATATAGATATAGAATAAGACTCACCAAACTATACTATAGGAAGTTTCTACTTTCGTCTGTCTTATCAAAGAATCCTGAAAACTTATCTGAGGCTTTAAAAAAAGTAACATTACGAGAAGCTGTTTTAGATTTACATATGGCCTGGAATGAACTATTCAAAAATATTGGAACAATCTCTTTTGTACCAATAGTGAAGATGATGAAGAAGACGATGTCCCCTTAAGCGTAATTAGAGAACGTTTGCGATCCAATAATGATAATGTTATTAGTGTGTCATTGGATGTTGTTGATTTATTGAAAACAGTGAACCCCAACATTGTTTGTACTCCTGCTGATATTAATTTATGGAACGAAGACAAGCAGACGAATGATGCTGATAAGGAGGAGGATATGGACAGTGAGGATGATGAGAACGATGCCATTGAAGTCAGAAGTGTAGTGACTGACGCGCAAGCTATACAAGTTTTCAACCAAGCTTTAGATTGGGCTGAAAGAAAAGAAGTTTCATACACGGATATTTTAGTTCTTCGTAAATTACGGGCGTAGGTATTGGAAGACAATGCTAAGCGCAAATTTACGCAGACAAAAATTGTTAATTATTTTTCTTCTAATTAAAAAAATACTTATCGCTGTTAGAATATTTGTTTATTTTGTTATAAATAGTATGTATTAAACGTTTCTTTTAATACATCAAATATTATATAAATCACGTTCGCTAATGTAAACATTTCGATAATGTGAACCACACTTGGATTAAATTAGCACCAGTTACGTTATGTCTTCTAACAATATTTTTCATACTTTACCGCGATAAGTCTAACAAACTTGCAATTTCTGAGTTTGATTTCCCAGAATTAAAAAATTTAATTATCAGTAAACGAATTTTCTCACTAATAACCTTTCCTCTACCCATTTTGAAAGCCTTAACTACCCAAGACTATGTTAAACATATTCTGACAGCTGTGATTAATAAAAACAATTATCATGGCTTTTATTTTTCACAGCCACCTATGCGTTATACACTTATTTTGCATTGAAATGAAAATAGGTTGATATGCTGTAATTGCAACATGTGTTATTTTTATGCTGCAAATTTGATTAGTGATAAAGTTGGTATTTTCTACTAGATATTATCAAAATATTCATTGTTGATATTTTAAACCTATAACACCCTATTACATTTTTATTATTTGTGTTTGATAAGAAAAAAACTATGATTTCAATAGTTCGGCCAACTGTTATGTTCCTATAATTCAAAAAGAAAACATAGCTTCACAATAAGAGAGCGCTGACACACGGAACAGTATAAATCTAGAAATGCTGAAGGAGAGAAAAGACTATGAACATCAATGAGGCCACAAAGGCGTCCTACAACTGTAAGAACGACTGACGAAACGGCCCTTACACATCCATTTATTCTATTCTGCGAGTATTTGACACATTTTCAAATGCAACATCATCAGACGAGCAATTACACAACCGTTTTGCAACTCATTATCCAACTTGAACAAAAATGAAATCACCGCCGTCCGCGATTATTCTGTTAAAGATGATCCGTTTAATCCTGTGAATTATTTAGGTTAATTATATAAACCATGGCGCGCTACGATGTCAGACTTCGCTACTTTTTGTTTTTCATAATAACAAGAGGCTGTTATGATAATGGTTCGTTATCTTGCGGTTTGTATGCAGCAATATATTGTACGAAGAACCGAATTTGCGGTTACGATTTCGGTTATGTTTCTTGAAAGATTGAGAGATCCTGTTACATATTGTTCGACGCAGAAAAAGATGTGAATGAAGTCTTAGATGAACGGATTTTTTTACAAGCTGAACTGAATCTGTCTGCTGTTCCGCCTTTGTAACCATGACGAACATCATATAACGTTGTTTCGTGCTTTTTGGCAATCATCACTACGGTATAATTGTAGTTATGTGGAGACAGAAAAAACGGATCGTAAACAGGCGGGGGTGTGTAATTTCCTATTTAAAATAAGTACGAGATATTTCCTTATCTTTCTTCAAGAAATAACTTTTTTGCCACAAAAAAACGCTCCAATAGCTATTTTCAACGACAAAATGATAAACAAACCATGGGCGTAGTGAAGAATAGCATTTACTTATTAAGTAAATTCTTTTAGTCAAATTTCTTCTGAAAGTAGTACAAACTAATCTGATGTACCTATTAAAGTCTACTTTAAGCTTTAAATCAATAAATCTTCAAAACTACTGAACTGAAGCTCATGTATTTTACATCATTATAAAGGGAATTGAAAGACCTTTAAAATAAGGTATCACTCGACCCCCCTTTCCATTTAAGATTTTGGGGTTGGTGTCACCCCCGCCCAGGAGGCTGAACGTGTGAACGTGATTTTTTAAACCCCCCCCCCCCCCGTCGAAAACAAAATCGACGGGCCTGCGCGTTTTTCCAAAAAAAAACAGCTGCCAGTGAATGCGTCTGTTTCGTTTTCGATGTGCCACCCTGTATAATGATCTGCCTGTTACATTCCAAAACTATACATTATTCAATTTTAAAAAGAGGCTTAAACTAAAACTACAATATGGACTATTTTTGTAATGTTCTGTTTTTTCTGTTGTTAATTATTTAGTAATTATTGAGAATTATGGATACATTTTTATTGATGGAATATTTTATTATAAATTTTTTTGTTCTTTCAAAGATTAAGTTGGAAAACGCTAATCTTAGCGACTATTCGGATTTTTTTTACTTTTACTTAGGTACGAAATAAAGCCCATTTATTATTATTATTAATGTTATTATTAAAGCTGATATAAAAGACCAACGAACCGGGTGAAAACATGATGAA